AAATGCCCACAACAGACCAGAACTTAAGTTCTTATTTTCCTGATTTTCAGTTTTTAAATGATTAAACCAACAAGCATGTAACTTGTTTTCATTGTGGTATTTGATAAATGGTAAACCTTTGCTGTAATCGGTGCATACACATCTTAGTTCTCGCATGTTGTTGTGAAGGGGGTAGAAATGGATGTACTGTATATAAGCAGAATAAAGCTGTGACCTTACCAAAGCTGCATATGAAAATACAAAAATGCATTTAGACACCCTACTAGGTCCCTGGTACCAGTTTCCAGCTGTATCTATGTTAGAATAGCCCCGGGAAGCCAATAGAGTATTGTATTTCCACTAGTGAGAATGTACTGTTGTGTGCTACATTGTGCAGAGAGCAACAGCAGACAGTGTCCTGACTCGATTCTGCCGACGTAGTTCAGAGTTCATGCGTGAAAACAGCTTAAAAGCTTAAAAACGCTGGACCGTAATGCCTATATTGTACAAGTGTTTGAATATTACTAGGCAATAATTAGTCAGCTGCTAGAGAAACAGCTGACTAATTATGGATGTTCACAGTGATTATGAAGTACATATGAAACAGCTGATGCTAATCAGTTGCCTCTTTTCCTACCGAGGCAGTGTCGGTGCATTTTAAAGGGGAAAAAACGGCACAAACCCCAATATACACTCTTTCACGCATTGACACCTTTCATGGCTTATTTCTATTCTGTACTTTAATGGGGAAAAAGGTACCCTTTCTTTGATGTCTCTTAATTATTGACTGAGGTATCTACAAAAGTGGCCCCCTTAACAATACATTTTATTCTGAGGTGCCAGTTCATCCATGTCCATGTCCTCATTACATCTCCTTTTAAGCTGAACAGATCAAGTATCAAAGCAGCCATCAAGTTAATCTTCTCTCTGCCAGCCACAGCCCACAGTAATGAGCAGATCAGATCTCTGACCGGCATGTACCCCAGACACGGCACTGCTACTGAAAGGCGGTTAGATGTCTTTTAGGAGGCAGTGAGGGTTGACTGCCAAGCGGAGATGGGCCGCGTACCGCAGCCACCTTTATCCCATCAGCTGGGAGGAGACAAGGAAGAGGGGGAAATGAAAAGCAGGAGAGTAACCTGTTCTTACTTGGAGAAGTAAAAGTGGGATGAAAAGAGAACGACGCAAGGGAGAAAGAAAGAGAGAGAGAGACCCTCATTAAAAGGCACTGTGTTGGCTTCACAATCATCCCACCACTTCAATGCGCTGTCATGCAGTGATGTATCGCTCTGCATGGCGCTACCAAGGCCTTTATTCCCACTCTCCTCCATGTTTCTCTCTTCTAGCCAATTAAACGCCCACTAGAATCGAGGGGAGGAAGTGCCACATTGAGCATTGCACAATGTGGAGAGAGAAAGCTGATGAAAGGACATGTCTCTTTTAGTCTGCTTAATAGCTCCAGGACACTGTCTGAGTGGCGTTTAATGTCTACAGCATATTCGCCGTTCCTGTTGTCCCATTTCAGTTTCTTCACACGTACATATACTTTATCACCAAGGGATGAAAATGTTTATCACAACTATGAATATTTCATTCACTGTAGTTAAGCTGACTATTGGCAGGCATCACGGCTGTCTTAATGCACCTGCTCTTGAAATGACATGAAAGATCATAAAGAGGCTCACATCCAATGATGAGTCGTCAGTCAAACCAAAACACTCGTGGAATTTTTCAATGCTGATGTCTTTTTCTTTCTCTTTTTTTTACGTTTTTGTTTTATCTTGGCATCCTGCTGGCTTCAGGACAGCCACATTGACGTGGGGGTTGACACAAACAGGTGCACACGCTTAGCATTTGCACTGTATTTACCACACTCTCCTCTGTCTGCCGCGCTATGAATAATGCAGGCCCTAAAATCCTCAACTCGACAATGTGTTTGACCTGTTCATTTGTAGCTGCAGCGCCGATGGCGGGGTCAGAATATGGATGTGTTAACGCCGGGCTGAAGCAGAAGTTAATCGCAACAGCGGGACGGGACGGGCTTTGCTGCTTCTCATGCTGCCTGTGTCACTCAGGCTGACACCATAAATCTCACTTATTTTCAGATCCAAGTGAGACACGGGCAGAAATTACGGCCCAGAGCACATTACCAGCCTTAGCAGCGTGCTGAATGCTAACAGAGAGATCCTTGATAAAGCAGACAGGCAGTTCTCCTGCACCTTATTGGACGAAAAAGAATCCCATGTATTAGACTTGAGGGGCCAGACCGGCTCGCAAGTAAAGCACAAACACCGGCGTCAACAAGTGAGATGCAAACTAACATTCAACCCACATACTTAGAGGTGTCTCTAAAAGTATCGGCTAAAAATCTATATAATGCATGCAGAGGTGAAGGACACTACCGTTCAAACCTGAGAACATCTCGATTGGTACAATACAGTTTCGGGCCAGTTCTCATTTTTATTGCTGCTTCGCATGAAGGAATAAAAAGTACTCAGTTTTTATTAAATGTGTGTGTCATTTTCAGATGCATGCTGCACATCACTGTTCTAAATCAATGCTCACTGGAGATGGTGTTTCAGGTGTGACTAAGCTATAGCATCTTTGCCTGGCTGTCATCATGAGGATCTGTTTTGTTAAGGGTCTTTATAAGGAAGCCTAGTATCTTTTTTTCCTCCCTGCAAGGCCGCCTAAAGAAATAATATTATCTGATAAAGATACTCCCTACTCTCTATTTAAAGGTGACATTGACATATGACATATAAACACAGAATATCCTTAACTGTACGTTTTGCTCATAAGTCAGTAGCCATGCTGCCGACGTTCGCGGTTACTGTATGTCGCATATCGTTCTCGTCATTTCTCCCGATGAAAACATTGTTTGTCACGGCTCATCTTAGGCCTTGTTATTCTTGTAACAACAGATCATAAATCGTAAATAATTTAAAAGATAACATAGTGGCAATACGGCATTTTGACGTGATGTGTTAATTTGTTAGAGTTGCTGCATTCAGTACAAAGGAAGCTCGCTTCGTGACACGACACAGAAACCAATTATTTTATAGCGTGTCTTATCTCCTGTTCAGCCAATTTCACATTAAATGCAATACGTATTTGGTCCTATCAAAGGCTGCTGTTTCCTCCCGCTGTTTCTGATACGACGCAGAGGAGGCCTTCAGAAAAATCTTTACATGCTAAAAGTAGCAATGGTATTATAAATGGCACATTCAGAACTATCAAAATAAAGCTTGCATCTCAAAGACCAGCCTGATCTATAGTAAGAACACGTACATTTGTTTTAGTTTCACAGGCCCATATTTCATTGTCTCTTCATTCACACTTTTTTAACCTGCTGATGTTCGCCACTGGTCTCTATTATGTGTTTAATTGCGCTGTCTATGTCCAAGCGTGCGGACCGCTGATGCATCACCGTGCGATCCCGCTGTGGCTTATTACTGCCAGGCTTCGCTCTCTACAGCTCTCGGCCCGCTGGGTCATATCCAGCTGCTGTAATCTAACATTAGCGCCAGCTTTCACCAGGTCCCCACCATTTACCCTATCATATATTATAGATGACCCTCTGAAAATGGAGGAATCCCAGCAGACGTGGAATTAATTGACAGCATTCCTCGGTTTTAAGACGAATTGAATCAAAGTCAGTGGCACAGCTAGAGAAGGGTTTATATTGCTATATAACACTGTCACAGTCTATAAAATTGTAATGAAACGCCATTTGAAGATTAAGTGGGTTTTTTTGTGATTCATCGGTATCTCTTGGCTCAGCTAATAATCATTTCACTCCAAAGCTGAATGATGCTACAAATGACCAGCCTTACAAACGACGAGCTTTCTTTCAATCAAACTTAATCCTCCTTTTCTTTTTTTTTCTTTCTCTTTGAATGAGCTCCACTGGAAAGCTCACAAACAAGTCTTTGGAAAGCGAGTGCACGGCTCTTGTGTACTTCCCCAGTGACTGTGGAATACATATGAATATGGACAGGAAGTCAGACACTGTAGATTGGTCCTGTCTGTGCCTGTCAGGTTTAGCAATAAAACACTAAACAAATGTGACGTTTAATTCAACAGGCATCACTCCAGAGGAAGATTTCTCTGTTAAAAGGGGGGAAATGGTAGGAAAACATCTTCAGTGCTGGCAAAGCTTCAATACAGTGGGGACAGAAAAAGATGCCTTCGGGTTCTCGCCTATTGAAATCAAGGAAATCTGAGCTTTTGTGAGACTGTCTCTTTAGCAGAATGAAAACATCTTGAAAATAGAGACTTTTGTCATGCTTTACAATTAGCTGAAGTCCCTTCAGTTCACCAGGCGCAATATATCCGTGCTCTACACTGTAACTATTGAAAAGTACACTTTGACCTTAGTAGCGACTATTTACTGTGGCGCTCAGGGTTCTGTAGCAGTTTGTGTAATTGAAGTACAATTTCTTTGGGCTGAATAGGCAGAAGAGACAATCCAATGTGCTTTGGTCACTTCAGAGAGAAAAAAGTTAACTCAGACTTATCTTAATTGGTTCCGATTATCTTCTGTGACAATGCTGGTGTGTGTATGTGTGACTGCGTGCGTGTGTGTGTGTCTGTAATGAAAGGTTAAGATTTCTGTTCAGAGTAATGAAGCTGTGCCAGTGGACTTAAAGGACCGGGGCTGCCTGATCACTGAGGTCATTTACTGGAACGATCTCTACTGCAGTCCAGGGGCAAATTGGAGCATTTGGTTCTTCTGTTTCTTTCACAGAGCCTAGTTAAGTGTGATTTGGCAGCAAGTGCCAATTTATACATAATGGAACTGACTAGTGTTGGCAGGTTAAGTTTGACTTTTATGAAAAACATTGTAGGTAAGGTAAGGAAAAGATAAAGGATAAGATAAAGGATATGATAAGATAAGATAAGATATCCATCAGTTATTAGTCTGAAGGTTTATCCACAAATGATTAACTTTCATTTCTAAGCTGTTACTTTCTAACCGTTTCTTTGCTTTGATCTCTGTCTTCTTTTTATATCTTCAGGACTCTGAGATTCTGAACACCGCTGTATTGACTGGAAAGACGGTGGCTGTTCCTGTAAAGGTGGTGACTGTTGGAACTGACGCCTCTGTTACTGACGTCTCTGAAGCGGCGACATGTCGCTCAACAGACGAAGACGTGGTCAAGGTCAGTAAGATCAACTTCTGAAAAGAGGGGGGGGGAAAAAGACTCCCGCAATCTCTGCTCTCGCATAAACACGGTGCCATCGCATGCTTCAGATAGGTTTCTGTTGATGTTTTTCAAAGAGTGACATTTTATTTATTTATTTTTACATGAGCTGCTACAGCGCAGTGCAGTACCAAGGTGATGCCCTGTGCAAATATGACTTCAGATATATAGACAGGCGCAGTACTAGTATGTAAAGGGTTTGCATTCTTAAGTAATGTTGTGTATGTGTCTACTCTTCGGTTTTAGTTCAGTTTGGTTTTATTTAGTTTCCAGAGTGGGTTTTATTGATTCTGTTTGGTTTTTATTGTTTGAAAAAGTGTAGTTTTCTTTAGTTTTCATTATTTTCTGTGTTAGTTTTACTATTTTAATTATTATTGTATGAAAGGCATATGTCAAGATTTAGGAAACTCTATACAGGTATAACAATAAAAACACAGAACTTGTTGAAAGCAGTTGACTCCCGGTCTTGTAGACATCCATCAAAGTCTCATTGGGCAAGCTGTAATAAAATATTTTATGAAACTAACAATTTGGGCATATTTTATTTTATTCTATTTTTGATAGGTTTTCAACTTAACAACATCATTTTTTGTAGTTCTTTACTTTTAAGACTAGTTTTTATTTCTATATTAGTTAACAAGATTTTGGTTTTCAAATGTTATTTTATTTTAGTTATCTATAATATAACCTTTATGTGTGGATATACCTGCAAAATATGTTTAAATGCTTAATAGTAAATCTGTTAAATGTAAACAACATGTAATCTAAAATGTCTGTAGTCCATTTAAGTTAATCAAATGCAATTTGCAATGGAAACTCAAATTGCCATTATAATTAACCCACATATGAGCCCATTATACAAATTATATTAAAGATTAGGTAGGTAGTGCATTTTTTATAGAAAGTGTTGAAATGATGTTTAGGACATTTAGCACACATGCACCCTGAAGAAAATGAAAACAAGCTCTGGAAAACAACATGAAAGAGCATGTTTGATATGCAGTGACAACTGACAACTTTTTCTTTATACGATCCCTTTTAAACCTGCAGCATGAGACCAAAAAACAAAAAAGTGTAAAAGTGGCTTTGCTATGCAAACAAAGGAAGTCACACTGAGACGGGATCCAAGAGACTCAATGCAAACCCAAAGAAGAAACAGTCACATCAGTCAGCACCCCCACGGCTCATTTGGATGAGTGTGCAGGCCCGTGTACAGAAGGTTTGGCCCTTCCTGCAGTGTCTTGGTTAGATTCTGCCTGAGGCTCTTTGCTGCATGTCATCTCTCCTTTAATTGTCCCACTATTTTTTCTGCTTCTACTGGATCTATCCAAAAAGCCCCACAATGAAAATGCCTTTGGTCTGTTTCCATTTCTAAATGGCTGTGATGTTAGTTTATATTTAAAAAAAAAACACCACATTGCTGGGTCATGTTTCCTGTTAAATGCTGGCACGATTCACCTTGAAGGTTAACAAAAATTAAAAGCTATAGTAGACGAGAACATTTACCATAATTGATCACCTTAAATTGTCTTAAGTGTGTTCTGGAGGACGATTAGGTGAAGAAGGATGCTTCTTCTTTAAAAACAAAAAGCCCCACCTGCAGCATACTTACTGTTGCTCACTTAGGAAGGCTTTTTTGCTAATAATAGCCTGTGATCGTATACATAAAGGTGACAGATTGTGACCTGGACGATTAGGATTAAATAAACACAGAGTGACTTTAACATAGAACAGTGAATCACATCACATGAAATGGTGCTTCCACTTACTCCAGCCTCCTAAATTACAGTAAATTATAAAGAAATACCAGGTTACATGATTTTTCTTCAAACCTCTTTGGGAATTTGTGCAGTTTACACAAATCTGTTCTGTGTAGGAAGAAATAAGGCTATGTCTGTGCATATTCTGGGTTATCATGTTGACAGCTACGTGTAAGGCTCATGCAAAGCTCACCATATGAGCTGCATTTACTGTGTGTGAATCTATGGAAAGCCAGTATGGACCTCTTCTACTTCATACCTGCTCTGCTCCATGTAGCCACGGTCATCAAACTGTTTTTGGCCAGAGTGCAAGCTCTTCTATTGGCCGTGTTGTCAGATTGAGGCAATTTTGATATCTCATTTGTGTCATTGTCCTCTTTTTTTCACTTAGCTTGCCTGCATCACCTTATACATGTTCACACAATCCAAAATAAGTTTCTTGTTACCTCTGGCTCAGATCCAGCACTCTTCCAAAGAAAGCCAAGTTTCTTTTAGCAGGCATATTTTTGTTTTCCAGGTGCCTCATAAGCACAGTCCAACCAAAGCCATAGGAGTGATAGCTTTTGCTGTAATGTTGATTAACAAGTTATTCTTTCTTCAGGTTGCCTCCACTGGCTGTGGTTACCCATGGTTTGCTTCATAAATCCATATCCATGTAACAGACTTAATTTTTCTCCTCCTGGGCAACTTTGACAAAAGCCTTTTAAGTGTATAGAACTTGCCTCTGTGAAGAAAGTACTGATACTGCAAAATAACAATTCATTCATAACATTTGCAGCATTAATAACTTGGAGCTCTGTCTTCACGCTCAGCATTAAACAATTTCTTGTTTCAGAACTGACCTCTGAATTCTAGTCAGAAAAGATGTGCGGTATTTCAGCAGCTCGCACAAATAAAAGAATTGTTGAAATAACAACAACACCACACACATTCATGAAATTGCAGGGATAATCTTCCATCTTCACATTAGCCATGAAGGTCGTGTTATGAGCGAGCTCCTGCAACTCCTGCTATCGTCGCGCAGCATAATCATTAGAAACCTTGCTGTGTGCAAACCCTTTCCTTGCACTGAAGTGAGCGCTGAATCTTATGCAGAGAAGTCTGAGCAGCTTAATTGCTTCTGTCAAACCGGCTCTGTGTACAAGCCAGAGACAGACTCATCCTACCTTCATGCTCCCTACTCCCATCGCTCATATCTGCCTTGGATTGTGACTGTCTGGTGAGTAGTTAATTTCCTGGGCTAGATCCAGAGACAGCCTTAATGTCCTCTGTAAGTATTCTCCCGTTAGCTGCCTAATGTGCCTGATTAATGTGGCGGTGGATCCTCCTGGACGTTTATGATACTTTGTAAAGAAGAATGACGGAGTGTAACTCGCAGCGGCAGTTCCACCCTCGGCGTGGCGCGACATATACCCAGTGGTGAGGGTGGAGGAGGGGTTAAAGGGCCTGCTGATTAAGTGGCAGTGTCTCCTTATGTCGCAATATTGATTTAAGTCTATTCTGGCCAATCAGAGCGGACAGCAGGGCGGTATAAGCGTGCCTGTGTAATTGGTCGGGACAGCACGATGTCAGCTGCCATGTTTTCCGTAATTGTTTCTCCCTAGATTACTGGGGTGTTGATCAAATTCCTAGCAGGCAGTTACAGTAATTTCCTTGTCATTAAGAATACCGTAGCAGAGCTGTACGTTAATAAATACCAGATGTTTACAATTTTTTTTATTGATTTAAATTTTGTAGGCTTTTTTTTGTAGTTTTTTCATTTAGCTACTAGATATGGTGAGTGAGCCCTGCACGTTTTTCCGTCAGGCATCGCATAGCCTGCAATTCGCTGCTCATGCAGCTAAGTTGCTTCACACCAACTAAGTAGAGTCAGAGATGAAGAGACTGTCAAAGCACTTCAGTCTCAGCAGACTGAGTGTGGTGAGAGAAAAAGAGGCTAACAATGAGAGCTGATAAAGAGCAGGGACTCCTCTGACATCTTTATCTGTTCAAACACACTCCCGCATCGGGAGCGCTGAGTCCAATCTGCTCCATGACTGACTGTAACCAGGGGAGGGACGCCGCGCTCGTACAGACGTTGAAAAGCTTCTTTAAGCCGTCGGTCTGTGTTTCATTGCACTGTATTACAAGGTACCACTTTGTACGTTCTCCGTATTTGGCGTAATAACACAGAGGAAATATCCACTCATCCTGCACGTGTCCACTTGAAAATGCAAGGCCTGTGCAGTTCTTAACAGAAGTTCTCTGATGGTTAGATGTAGCCTTGAAGGATGCCCTACAGCGTGCTTTTCATCTTTCTCACAGGGGCTTTCAGAGCGTTTTGGTCTCTGGTCATAGAGTCCACTGCTGTTGATAGCTCGCTGCTGTGCAGGAGACTTTTTAACAGTTTAAGAATGGCTGGTGTAAAAACAAATATCCACACTGGAACTGACACGAAAACAATATTTGCTAAGTAATTTTTTGTTAAATGAAAAGCAATGAGAGGAGATCGAGGCTGTATTTATTTTCAGCCGCAACAATGCCACCTGTGTCTGTGTTTGGTTGAGTGTGTGAATATTTGGTGCTTTGTCACAATGTTGTTGTAGTGGTAGTTTTATTGGTACAATAACGTTGAGGCGGACACAATAAACTGTTTGTTATGTCACCTCATTTTCAACAGCTGAACAATGGCCCACAACAAAAGGTGTAACTGTCCCAGAATTAAATGGAATTTCAATGTATTTTATTTGAAACGACCATGTAATTACATTTACCTACAAACATTTGGCAGTAGATATGCTATAAATAGGGGGTAGCGATTCAAGTTTGTACAAAGAAAAAACAAATAATTATAGCATGAGTAATTTTAAGTAGTGTGGAGTCAGTTCAGTTACAATCAGAAACTGTTCACAATGTTTGTGGATCTGCACCAAAAATGTTAAAATTACTATTGTTTATCACTTGTCTCTCCTTTTCTGTAAAATACCTATAAATGTGCATTACTTAAAGTTACTTACAGTATAATTATTTCTTCTTCTGTATAAAAAAAATATTATTATTACTCTACTCTTACTTTAATTCTAGCAGAATTACACCCTTAGTCACAGGCCGTATTCATACATGCCAAACCTCCCAATTTTTCTGGGAGAATCACGAATTTCAGTGCCCCTCCCGAAAATCTCCCGGAGCCATCATTCTCCCAAATTTCTCCCGATTTTCCACCCGGACAACAAAATTGAAAAACCATATCGCAGAATTCATAGTGCGGCCCAGCCAATTCCAGTTTCCAACAATGGCGGCAGCTACTTAGTTTAATATTACTCTTATTTCTCTTTCTGGGTCGCAAAATAAACTTTTAACATATTTTGAGGCAAGAATGTAGCTGTGTCAACTTCAAATATCTGAGCTGGCGAGAACACCAAACACCCGACACATCGTTTTCAAACCCCCACGGTCTTTCGCTACTCGGGTTAAACATGATATATAAGTCACTTTGATAACTTAAAAATGTAATTGTTTGGCTTTTTCAGTGTTTTATTTGTTTGTGAGTAAATTGATTTGGCTGAGATCAAAGTTATTAGATTAGATTAGGTTAATTTTAACTTTATTAAACGCTCGGGAGGGTTCCTCCGGGGTTTTCACACAGCTGAATAAATGTCAAACAGAAAACTGATTAAACAGAAGTGTGAGACGGTCAAGAATTTACGCCAGCGCCCGGTTATATTTTAGATAGCAAGGAGCAGACGGCAGAGTTTCACTCCACCGAGAGAGCTCGTGACGTACTACCCGGCTTTCTTTAGACCGCCAAGGCCGGGTCCTCAGGTGGAAGCAGCCTCTGAATTTGGACACCCCCGCTGTTTCCGGGCCGGCCAATAATAACGGTGACATTTAACGTATTTTATCCGATAAATAAACCCTGTAAAATGTATTTGTATGTCTCCCTAG